ATCTCGCAGCCAGCCCCCTTGAATGTGCAAAGGTTGTAGCATGAGATTTCCTGGACTGGGTCTACTTCCTCAGATGCAATGGGAAACAGGATGCAAACGGGGGGAAACGTTGCTGTTGCTGCCGTTGTATTTATGTCTGTCCAGTCTTTGTCTGCGCAGCATAAGACCGGCAAAACCTTTCCCGCATCATTTCTGGCTCTCTATTTTTGCTTTTTTGTGGTAATGGTGAAGGTGGAGATCTTGGGAAGGGAAGAGGGCAAGGCCTGAGTGCGAAAAGTGCCCCAAGGAGAAAGAATGTCCCATTGCAACCCTAGGCAGAAAGGCAAAGAGCTTGGCCAAAAATTGTCCTGATAGATAGGCTCTCGGGAAAAGACGGTTTCATCCAAGGTTTTAACTGTGACTTTATTGCTTTTTTAAAAAGCGGTTCCGTCTTTTTTTATTTTTAAAAAAGCTTGCCATCTTTGAAAAACTTTAAAAAAAACCAAAACCAAATTCTAAAGTGTTCAATGTTGTTGATAGTTTGCAAATTCTGTATATTTTAGTTTGTTTTTTGTTTTTGATTAAAGGAGTGTTTTGACACATTGAAGAAGAAGAACCAATTTATCTTAGCACAGACCTTTCATGGATTACAATCCACTTCCTCAGATACATTGAAGCACTGATTCAACCTATCTGAGAAAATCGATTGCAACCATCAAAACCTGTGTTAAAATGAACCGGTGGGTCTTAAAGGTGCCCCAGGACTCCCTTTATTCTCTTTTATTTCCTCCTGTACAGATGAAACCTATGGAGCGAAGGTCCACAGTTCTGGGGGCTTTGTAATTCAAAGGGGTCTTCCCCTTTGCTTGCTTTTTGGAAAAGCATCTTCTTCCTTGCACTTACTTTATAAGCAATTTGGAGTCACCCAGCACACACAGGAGATATATATTCCATTCCAAAGCTAGGAGAGGTTTGTTTTTGCCGGAGTCCACAGGGAAGGGCAAGAGTTTAATCTATTTTATTATTTCTTTCATTTGGATGCCTCCTTTCTTTCTCTCCTTTCCTTTTCCCTGGCATTGAGTTAATTGGAAGAAAGCTTCGTTTGCCCTTTAAATTCAGTCCGCAGCAAGGATGAAGAGAGAAAGCGGGAGAAGGAAGGAGGAGAGAGAAACCAGGACATTTTCAAAGCAGCAGAGGAAGTGAGATGGAGGAGGATTAACCAGAAAATTGGGGGGATGCCCTGATTTTCTGGATTACTGGAACAGAGTGACATGGCATCCTCTTTCCAAAAATATGTATATCTATAGCTATGCCTTGTTTTAATTTTGCTAATTTGCATTGAGTCCCAGACTGGTGGTGGGGATCAGAATAAATAGCCTTAAGTGACCATTTCCCCCAGACCAAAGGTACGCCAGGCCAGGGGATTATGGAAATTGTAGTCCAAGAAGCAACCTTCCCAAGCACCAGCACCTATCAGAGTTTTGTGAGCTGAGAGTGAAGTGGGATGTCCATTTTGGGCAGCAGGAGGCTTGGACGCCTACTTTGTCCCAAGAGCCCTGCTTTATATATCTGTAAAAGAAAGAGAACTTATAACGACACCCGAAATTATTATCTGTCCGTATGCTGCTGCCCCTTTAAGAGAGGCTGGTGTTTGGACTGGTCGTGGTTGGACTAGAAGTTCCAGCCAGCTTGGCCCACAGGCATTTTGGGAGCTGAAGCCCAACACATCTGGAGGACCAACTAGATGACCTTTGGGGACCCCTTCCAACTCCATGCTGGCTGGAGCATTCTGGGCACTGAGGTTTAAAGGGACACGTTTCCAGGCTCCATACTCTCTGTTGGGCTCCAGGAGCCATATTATAGGGCAGGGGTAGGCAACCTTTTCCCCTTTAAGGGCCAAGGAGGGACTTCAGTTCCCAGAAGCCCCAGCCATGTTGGCCTATAATAGTCCCATGTTGGCCAATAGCTCCTGGGATTCTGGGAGCTGCAGTCCCTCCTTGGCCCTTAAAGGGGAAAGAAGGTTGCCTACCCCTGTTATAGGGGATCTTTATAATGTGTGTCTGGAAGAACCCCAGACCTCTCCCTCTTGAATGGAAAACAATATCCTGACCAGTGCAGGCAGGCAGGTGAGGCCGGGGGTCATGCTGGGCGGCACTGAGGTC